AAACTGGTGAAGTGTTTCTGAGTCTGCCTTTATCATTAAGCTATTTTGAAAGGATTGGGTGGTTGAGAGGAGGGGGCAGGGGTGAATATTTTTTTCTTTTGTGTTTGCATTTTAGTCTGATCTTGGATTTGCCAAAGATCTGTTTTGGCAGGCAGTGGCCTGGCAGTGATGCATCTCACATGCTGTCTGAGCTTGAAAGAAAAGAGGGGGTGCAGAATGGGAGAAAAGAAAAAAGAAATAAAGTGACACCAAAGTTTTGACTGGAAACTCTGCCATTCTGGACAAGAGCAACTGTTGAGGAGTTGAACTGTTCCACTTAGTGTGGACCAGCTGAATAACAGCCAAAGTTTTTTTCTGCCCTTTTCAGTTATTCGTATCACTCCCACCATAACAGCCCTGAGGAGCTGCATTTTTTGTCTGTGTAAACCCAGAAGACAGTGTGTCTATTGACCCTCTTGCTGTTTCTGGAATGTGTCTCAGAAAATTGTTCTCAGCAAAATATCCTCATTCTTTTCTGCATTGGGGGCCAAAAATGGCAGGAAAAATTACTTGGTTTTAAAAAATTTCTCCTAGACATTGTCACAAGTTGCATTTCATATCAAAGGTGGTTTGGGAGAGAAGGTGTATGTAACAATACAAATTAATTTACTTAATTCTCTAAGAGCCTGCATGTAATGTGTAGCAGTTTGTTGAAGTTTTCTTACACCTTCAGGGTTGGCAGTGTCCATCATAAAGATATCCATATTCCCTTTCTCTTTTAAATTTTCTTGTTCAAAGGCATAAAGGATGATTTCATTCAGATCAATATATAAAGCTTGACTAGTGCTGCATATTTGCAATGATTTTGGGTAAATTCCCTTGTCTGTAATTCTTTGTGATTCAACTCTGCTGTGGTTGCTAAACTTGCATCATKTTGATAAACTGCAGGAGGTTTCAAGCAGGTGATGAGAAAGCTCAGACTAAATATATCTCTCTAATGTGAATAATTTCAAAGGTTTTCAGGGTTAACTTTCTTCTAATTTCTTATTTTGAAGAGGAAATAAATACCCCCATAAATACTTAAGTCAAGTCAGGTTTTAGCACATCAATGTCCCACCCTGGCATCTCCTTTCTGGCATCTCTGAGCTCCTGGTAGAGTCATTTATCTCAACTAACTCGTTGCTATTTGAGAGTCTGTTTTTTTGCAACTCAGTTGTTAAGAAGAAAATTTGCAGGAAATGTAGTTAAAATAATCTTGAAAAAGCAATGTTTGTGTTCTTCTTGCTACCTTATGACAGGGATGCCACAGTGTGYGCTGCCAGCTCATGTGGTTATTGAATTTAGTGTTGTTTTTCACCTAAGGCTGCTGAGGCCTGATTTTTTTTAAAAAAATACTTTTAAAAAATATTAAAATACTTTAAAAATATTTTTAAAGTACTGAAGACAACTAGAGAAATCAGCACTCTGCAAGTTAATGCCACTCTGCAGTTAGCTGCTGTCCTGCATCCTTCCCCATCCACCAGCAAGGGTGTCTATAGGAAAGGAAAAAGATTGGTTTTGATTTTATTTAATGGTGCTTCTGTATAGATTCTGAGAAAGTTAAACATAACAAGCCTTACCTGCTGCTGGTGAGCTCTTCCCTGGCTTGGTCTATCAGAGCTGCACTCCTTTACCCCGAGTGTTCTCTCCGAGCTGTAGGAACACTCCCCTGGTGTGGCTGTGATAGCAGTGCCAGTGGGAGCCCAAAGTTTCCTGTTTGCTCCCTGCAAGGTTGGTGCTGCTGCAGGCCCTGGGCTGTCTCTCATTTTTGGGAACACTTTTCTGGATGGGACAGGCATTGACAAACGTGACCTTTTGTTTTTGGTGCTGCCATGTGAGTTCAGGCAAGAGCTGCCTTTAACAAAAGCAGACTGCGGGGAGGAAGCAATACCTATGTGCACTCTGCATGTTTATTTTGGGGCAAAAAGCTGTTACAGAGGCATRTTTGGGGTGGGGGATGTGTAAAATCTGTGCATCTTTTGCAGCATCAGGCATTTGGAAGCAAAGTGCTGCTGTTTTCCCCACAAACCCCTCAGGTGCCCTCACCCTTTTTGCTTTTCCACGGTGCTCAAAGGTGACCTCATTCTTTCTTCCTTTGAAGAGGGGATTTTTTGCTGCTGATTCAGAGTCCCTGGCCCTGACAGCCCTTACAACTGAGCAATCTGTCAGTCTGTAGAGGTGGATTGTGTTTCACATACGGGGCTGGAAGCTGAGCTCTTGCTCACTCATCCCTGCCCAGCTAAAGGAGAGAATGTGTTGAGTGAAAGCTGCATCCCAGTATCATTCTCCTCTATCTGAAGTCATCGTCAGCTTTTCCAGAGCCTTTCCTCCTGGAAATGCTGCTCAGGGAAATATTTTAACATTAACTCTAAGAAGCCCCCACAAAAGCCTTCTCTGAAGCTGTTTGTATGCACAAGTGGGCAGTAAAGAAGGCAAAAATTTATTTTCTGTAAAGCCCAGCTATAAATTACTCCTGAAATAGCTCCTGTGACTCTSTGCAGCTCCAGGCTACTGCATCCATTACTTTGGATGTGAAACTTAACATCATTGACTCATTTTTATCATTCTGTGCTTCACCAGAGTGCAGAATCCTCACTATAAAATACAATTCTGTTAATACTAGAAGTAATGATGTTAGAGGAAGTGACATACTAAAATGAAGTAATAAAAAAACTCTAGATTTTAAAAAATATTTTTATTTTAAGATCTAAATACCTCACTGGAAAAGTATTTAAACAGTCTGAAGCTTGCCAAATGCATTAAATGGCCAAGAGAAACAAAGCATCACTAAGGCTCTCATACAAAAATTTCTGGGTTTGGAATGCACCCAATTTTATTTACTCATCTGCTGCCCCCTTTTATTTGGGGCCAGTTAAGATMATTTTGGAAATTGAGTGTCTCCTCTTGTATACATTTAGCTCAGAGTTACTTTGTCATAGCCAGCCAATGAGTTTGCTTATGAGAATGAACTCTGATGCCTTTAATGCTTGCTGAGTCTGCCTGGAAATGTGTAATAATGGATTTCTTGTTTTTCTGCTTCAACAATAGAGTCAAGGGACAAATTCCAGAGTTGCATTATTTAAAATTATTTTTAAAAAGAGAGAGAGRGAGACAGCTGTGTGAGTGGGAGTGGGGCTGGTGTAAAGTCAGCTCAGACAATGAGTTGCTCTTGGGTAGATGAGGAGAATGAGCCTCACAAATGGATATTGRTCTGCAGCAGCTGGGACATGAGGAAGGGCTTGGGAGACAAGTGTGATCCACTCTTCCAGCTGCCTGCCTTTCCATGGATCACTTTGTTTTCCTGATAAATTTCTGTTTGTGGCACAAGRATGTATTGTTTTCCACTGGTATTTATTGTAGCTTTATGTGAGTGTGTGGATGGTAAAGTTTAATAAGCTTTATAGCACTCGGCCAGGGAAATGATTGATGTGGCTTCTTGGAATTTGATTGCAGGAGGTGGATTTTCTGGAGTTAGGCATTCATCCTTTGCAGGACTTAGTGGACAGTTTAAAATCCTGGGAATAGGCAAAGCTGAAAGTCTGTCTTTTATTGGATTCACTTATTTGGTTATAGTCACATTCTCCTCTATTTGATGCTACTGTTTCATCTCCTGTGATGCACTTAGTGCCCAATATCTCCTCATTTTTCTTGAATTATTTCTGTAGAAAGAATGTGAAGGGGATCTGTGAAATTTCTCCAATCGACTGCAGAAGCAATATCTGAATTGAGGTGAAATAAATTATTAGGTGAGATGTGCAAACTTGACAAATGCAGGGGAAGGCTTCTTTACCAGYTGAGATTTGAAACCTCCTGGCAGAATTCGTTACCTTCCAGTTATGATGACAAAAACATTCCATTATTTGGTATTCCATAGATTTTTTTTTTTTGTCAGGAAACTATTGTCTGCTTGGAACAGTTCAAAGAATAAAACCCCTTCCCTGTTCTGAACTGGTTTTAATGGGAGCCCACTTAAAATGTGCTAAAATTCTTCGCTTTGTTGCATTCCATGAAACGCAATTTGTAAAGCAGCATTTCTCTGTCTCATCTCAAGGAATTGTTCAGAAAATGAACAGCACAACTCCAGCCAGGGAGGGGAGCAGGACAGAGAGGRAAGGCACAGAAATGTAGAAAGGGAAGAGAAGGGAGAGCTGCTGAATGAAGGCCAACGGCAAGGAAGGAAAAGGCATCTAAACCAAACAGATGGGAGAGACAGTAAGGGAATAATATTGGGCAGTGAAACAGATAACAGAAGGCCTTGGGAACAGAACTGTAAGGGGAGGAATCTGAAAACATGAAAGGGTCACTTGGGGACAGATTATTCCAGGGAAAGAAGTGAGATTAATTGCCCAGTGCTCTGCTATGTTGGGTAGCAAAGCAAATCATCCGTGTGGGTAAAAATAGGAATGGAGGCATCTCAGCTGCTGCTCAGGCTCCCYTTTCCTTGTGTGCTTCACACCAGTGCTGTGTGAGGAGAGCAGAGAGASGGCTCTGCAGAGCACACAGAGTTAAGGTTTTGTCAGGGTTATGTTGGAAAATGCGACAAAACTCTGTTGGATTTTTTCTCCCTTTCCCCAGAAAATGCTTCCTGCCAACAGGGAAGCAGCTCATTAGAGGAAGGGAGGTGACATCCACCAGGACATAGGTGGAGCAAAAAGTGTCCACAAACATGCTGTAAAGGTGCCTGTCCAGTGGGCAGGTGGAGGGGCAAATTTGTTTTGGTGTTTGCCTTGCAGTTCRAAGAGGTTGGTAATGGAATACAAAATGGTTCATGGAAATAGCACATTGTAACCCCAAAAACAGCAAGCAGCACTGTCCATGCTGCAGTTTGTGACTGATGAGATTAAACCCTTCACAAAATAGGAGGAATCCAAAAGCTGGTGTTCAGAGTCTCATCACGTTCCTGGGTAGGAGGGTGAGGAGTACCACAAAGCAGTTGCTTTGCATGTAGCCTAAATTATAAATTTCCTTTGGTATTTCCTCAGGCAAGACAGCAAGCACAGCTGAGACATCAGATGGCAGAAGACAGCAAAGCTGAATATTCYTCCACCTTACAGAAGTTCAACAGTGAGCAGCATGAGCATTACTACACACACATACCAAACATCTTCCAGGTAAGGGTCCCTGGCAGGGATGTAGAGTAGCCCATAATCCTGTGACAAGAACATCACCTCAATTCTGTGATCCTGACTTTGACTTTTTTGGTGATTTTTTTTTTTGGTCGTTCTTAGCAAATTTTACATGCAATCTGCTGCCCTGAGGAGGTGGTAGGATAAATTATCCCTTCTTCTTAAAGTAGATATGCAGGGATCAATAATAAATGAGGATGGTGACATTGAACAGTCGTGACAGATGAGGACAGTCTTTGGAATCCTCACAATCTCGCTCTGTTCAGCTGCTGTGTCCGTGCAGCTGGGGATGAGGGAGAGCAGCATTTGCATTGTTGGGGCAGGAGGCAGCTGGGCATTGTTGCATCTGTAAAACCTGTGCTCAGATCAGGCTGCAGAGATGGTTAAATGTGAAACACCACAATTCTGCAGCAGCAAATGCCAAAGGCTTTGAGCAAGCTACTGATTGTGTCTTGGGGTGCCTAAGGACAGACTGCAGAGGGGGAATAAAAAACCCATCAGATTGATTCTGAGTGAAGATCTGAGTTTGTGCTTGGCTGAATGAATTGAGGTTAATGTAGTAGAACAGAACTTCTAAATGACTGTTCCATTGTAATGGGTCATAAGCATCAGAAGTGGAAAATGCAACCTTTTCAAGGGAGGAAATGTCACATGCTTGTCATCAGACATGCAATGGCTGATGTTTGCGTGGCAAGCACGCACTTTCTTAGCCACTGCTGAAACTTGTGAGCTAAATGGATACTCCTCTTTTGCCTTGTGGTATTTCAAACCAATGCCTTGAGATAAACTRTTCCTGGGACCAAGTAAGTGCTGGAGCTGGGGAGCACTCTGATCTGTAGCTGAGCATGTTCAAGTCCTGCAGATGTGCTCTTTTCCCTATCAGTGCACCAGAGAGTTCCTTTTAGGTGTTAAAATCAGTTGTTTTGTAAAGAATTCRTGTTGCTTGTGGATCAGTCAAGGCAAAGGGGGTTTTTAAGTTGGCTGCTCCTGTTCATGCCCTCTGAATCCTGCTAGAATTTACCATAATAGAATTGTGCCACGTTCAGTTTGCCTCCATGGTAAAGGAGAGGCTCCTGGAAGAGATGCTGGAGATCCTGGAATGGAATCCACTGAGCAATGAGGAGCATGTGTTGGGAAACCCTGGTTTGAACAAGACATGATGCATTTATTGTACATGAATACATCAGTACATGATGTACTGTGAATAAGTCATGATGTATAGGACTCCTTGAAAACAAAAAAAACCTACCCTTTAGGGAAAAAGAGAAGAGGATACATCAAAATCTTTGTTTCCTTGAATTCTAGAGTGGAATGAAACTAAGATTGTTCTGAACATACACAGAGAATGAAAGAACTTGTTGCAGAAATTATTTTTAAAGCCTTAGGAGCCATCCTTACAAAATTCTAAAGCTGGGGTTTGGACAAATCAGCATTTTTTAATATTGAAAAATTTCCTGTTATAGTAAAAGAGATTGCTTTTAGAATGACATTTTGATGTTTGAGGGAACAGTATCACTTGGTGCCTTCCTGAGAACAGCTGTCCTAGTTTGTTCTTAGAAATATATTTAATCCCTACATGTTAAAGCAGCTGATGCAGCTGGGGAGGAAAACTGGGCAAAACTGTGAAGTTAATCTTGATGTTTRACCTGAATGAAATGTAATATTTTAGAAAATACAAGAGATGGAGGAAAGAAGAATCGTGAGGATAGGTGAATCCATGAAAACCTTTGCAGAAGTCGACCGCCAAGTGATCCCAATCATTGGGAAGTGTCTGGATGAGATAACAAAGGCTGCAGAATCAGTGGATCACAAGAATGTAAGTGTTGCACTGTTGGTTGTCTTATTTGGTATTGGTCTCAAATTTATGGAGACTTAAATCCTGGGTCTAGGCTGCAGCACAAGAGCTTTGCAGTCACGGAACGAGACCAAAGAACAGCTTCTTGTCCCAAGCTGCTTTGTCTGAGGCAGGATGTGCTCAGATTATTTCCCAAATCTACTTAAAAACCAGAAATGCCTTTGCTGCTACACTTTTTATATTTTGTTATTGCTGGGGTTTTTTGTTGGTTTTGTTTTAAAGGCATATTCTTCATTTTATTAGGATAATCACTTTTTGAAATATTTCAATTTAAAAGTAGGCTTCTGCATAGAGTAAGGTGATGTTGGACATAATTTCAGATGCTYGATCACCAGTTCTTATAAAGGTGGTTTTTATGTCTCATAGTCAGGAAATTGAATGTTTCAGAAATGTCTTAGTTCCAGTTAGCTTTATARTAATGAAAATATTTCAAGTACTGGCTACATGAACTACTGCAAAACCTTGCTGTAAAATATTTCTTTGCAGGTCTGAGGTTTTTGTGGCAATCTGCAAATGAGCAAATCTTGATTTTTGAACACCATTTTCCTTCACAGGATGCAAAGAAGCCTCTGTGATAAAAAGGCTGATAAAGATTTCGGTTGAGCTTCCTGCTGTACAGTTACCACAAGGGCCTATGTGTTTTCTATTTTGCTTGCAGAATGATCTGCTCCCTTCCTACATGAAGCCTCTGTTCTTCCAGCTTTTCTCATGGATCACATTAGTGCTTCAAATGCTGACAGTGTGTGTCTGGCTGCCTGTTTGAATTTCCCATACAATCTTTTCTGTGCTGTTTGATGCCCCGAGCCATGAACTGGCAGCATAAGCCTGAGGCTGAAGTTTTGAAATTAATCCTCTGCTCTCTGTTCTGCAATTGCTCTCACAGAGAGCAGCATAGAGAGCTCAGGAATCTAAAAATCACTCTCTGAGTGGGAAAAAGGAGAAGTGGGGCACCGATTCCCGTGTTGGGGCAGCATACCCTGCTTGAGGAACAGCTTTTGGTGCTGGGGAGATTCATATCTCAGMTCTGCCCAAGTCATCTTAGCAAAACACAAAACTTGAGATGGGTGTTTGARCCAGGGTGAATTTTATGTCCTCTTGCTCTCAGATAAGTCCAGTTGATGGCTTGTACACAAGTGTGACATAGGAAAATGATGGCTTTGAGCATTGATAACTGAATTTACCAGCATCTCCTGTAAACTCTGTGCTGCCAGAAATGTATTTAACCAAATTAGTTATATCTGAGCAGTTACAAAGGGTTTAGTGTGTTTTTTTGCAAACAGTAATGTCCATAAAGGATTCTTTTTTCTGCAATACCATCAAGGATTTTATCATTTCTGGAACAGTAATTTCTAACTTTGTTGATTCTAATGGAAGTGCTGGATTAGTTACTAAACCTGCAACTGTGTAAATAGGATTGCTTTATGCCCTCACTGCACTGCATAGAATTCCTCTTAATACCAACAGAAACTGCCTGGATTTAGCAGTGAATACTGCTCTGCTGTTACTGTGTTTCTGAGGCATTTTTAAATATGTTTTCCTATTTAACCACCTGAACAACACAAAGGTCGTGTTGCAAGGGTGAGCTGTGGTGACTGCCAGGTGAACCTGTGCAGAACCTGATTCAGAGGGCTCCAGAGCAGATAAAATGAATTTGTTATGGGCTTGGAGTTCCTGTTTTGACATTATCTGTGTGATATATGGAGCAGGCTGGCTATTTTTAGCTCCATTGTAGTGGAAGGATGTTTTGAATAAATGGAAGGAATCCTGTGAAATTCAGAGGGGAAAAAGTGAAAAGCTCCATGCATAGGATAAAATACCAGGGGAGTGTTTAATATAACATGGTGTAATCTCTTAGAGTCAGAGAATGGTTTGGGTGGGAAGGGACCTTAAAGCTGATCCATGAGCARGGACACCTTCCACTGTCCCAGGTTGCTCCAAGCCCTGTCCAGCCTGGAATCCACAAACTCCAGGCTCTTGTGTGAATAATCTCTCTCCATCTTTCCTGTAGGCTCTCTTTAGGAACTGGAAGGCAGCAGTTGAGTCATCCCAAAACCTTCTCTTTTCCAGGCGGAACAATTCCAATTCTTTCACCCTTTTCCCAGTCTTTCCCCCTCTTCTCTAATCCTTCTTCATCTTACTTTCATGTCTATCATTAAAAATGTCTTCAGGTTTAGATCTCGGGAAGTTTTAATGTCCAACAAGGATGGGATAATTGAAAGTGTTGTTCTACCTCCCTAAAACTCATGTAGTAATTTCATGATGCCATCTGATAGACTGAGGATCTTAAATCCATGTGGATCTTCCCAATCCCATAAAGACTTTTGCAAAGCTTTGCCTGTATCTGTGTTTTGCTCAATTGAGCCTGGCCTCTGGATATATTTATCTCCCACTAGATTTCTCCTGAACAGAATTTTACCTACAGCCATTCACAGAACCTGTGAAATGCCTTCAAAGCAACAAGTTCATCCTTTTATGTAACAGGAGAGTGATGCTCTTCTCTAGAGAATAASATTTTTGTGTGCCAAGGCACAATTTCTCCAGTGATCTTAGAACCCAGCTGTTAGAGTATAAMATACAAATCTCTCTTCTCAAGAAAACAAGTAGATAAAAAGTATATTAGGATATTTTTTTCCCGAGTCCATTAAATTTAAATGCMTTTGCCAAGCTGAGGTCTGAATTTGATCTTATCTATAATTAATTTTGTTTGTAGGCTTGATTAGGAAAAATGCAATAGATTGGGTTTGCTTTGATTTTTTTTTTTATTATTCTTTTCCATCTGTCCAAAACAAAAGAGCAAAGCTATTGTGGACAGCCTGCAGGCAGTTTGTGGCTGGCTTACATCCCTGCTAGCAGTGCCAAAAGGGAATRTGGGCTCCAGGCTGCTGGGGTGACCTTGGACTGCTCAAATGTTGGGTAAAACTCACAAAATATTTGCAGCCATTTACTGTCACTGAATTCACAACCAGCTTGTCAACTTGTGGCAGAGTGGTCACACAAGAACTCTGTTACATAGGAGAATTTATTGGTATTTTCCTCGGATTTTCAAACAGCTGTATCCCAGCAGATCTGTACCTTGAATCTTTCTTATGAGTCACTTACTGAAGTGTGATTTGCTTTTCCAGTCAGTGAATTTCCTAATTTTTTACCCCTTTCCAGCAGAAGGTGGAGAGGTTTGCACTGACCCTGGGCTTGGGAGGGCGTTCATTCCCAGGAAGGAGCCTGGCTACTCCAAGGGTTGGTCCCACATGGACAAACATCCTTGTTCTGCCTTAATGTGCCACCAGCTTGATGACACATGTGTTGGATCTGTCCCATTGCAGGATTCCCAGATGGTAATAGAAGCCTTTAAATCAGGGTTTGAGCCTCCGGGAGACATCGAATTTGAGGATTTCACGCAGCCCATGAAGAGGACGGTGTCAGAAACCAGCCTGTCCAACTCCAGAGGGGATGGCAAGTCAGAGCTCAAGTTTGGTAGCAAATCCAAGGGCAAGTTATGGCCATTCATCAAGAAAAATAAGGTACTGATTTGCAAACTTGAGCTTGGTGCTAGTATGTGTTTTGTCAGTAACCTGTGTCTTGTCTAGTAATCTTGGCAAGTTCAGTTTTTTAAAYGAGAATTTGAGATTCAGAAAGCTAATAATTGATGTCTTAATATGGTGTTTTTTGTTGTAGTCTTTGGTTACTTAAGTTTCTTTATATCTTTAATTTTATTTTTCTGGTATAATTTCATTAATTATGTTGCAGTTTTAAAAATTAATTTAAGTTGTCACGTCTCTGCCATGGTCCATTTCTGTTCCTAACTCAGAGAAGGAGTTGTAAACCACTTACCTAGTGCCATGTGTGCCAACTAACATTGTTACCTGTGGGAAGCTTCAMTGTGGCATTACTGTTTTGACACTCCTCAAACTCTCCTTGGCTTTCCATTTGCGTTGTCTTTCCAGTCTGTGCACTGGGGTCAGCAGGTGGGTGGCTGGGAACAGGGAATTGCTGGGATTCACTCTGAAGCACAACTAATGGAGCGTAACTAACTGAGCAGTTGACTTTTTAAAAGACCATATTAACTTATGTACCCATTAAACCTTTTTCATTCCACTGTCATACTTTACACCATAATGCATGGCAGCATTTATCTGGGGTTACCAGGACGTGTCAGGGGGACTGGACTCAATCAGGTGTCAGTAACACTGATGGAAGCCCAGAATAGCTTTGCTTTTTTGACCTCTTTCTCTGACCTTTTCCCAAACCACTTAAATTAGAGTGAAAAAATCCCTCTATTCACAAGGGGTCACTCCTGTAGTGCTGGTGTGAAAGAGGACTCGCTGTCTGGTGCTGACATCAGTGTAGCCAGAATAAAAACACCACCAGGACTAACTCCTGAGCAAATTCATAGAATAATTTGTACAAGTGAAGTGTGATGCACGTTGCTGAGGTATGATTTGGAAGCAGGAAGGAATGTGGTTTGTTGTTTTCCAGATAATAGAAACGCTACTGGGCACTAAGGTACCTTCCTTATCTGATCCATTTAAATTCAGGTATTTGAAAGCTCTATCCATATGCATTATTCCGAGCTGTCCACAGAGCAGAACAGGGCAATTTATGGGGATAGTGCTGCATGGAAGAGTCTGCATGAGCTTCCTTCAAAATACTTTTGTGTTACTCTTCTGTTGCATCACTTACTAAAACTTTCATTTATCACAACTCTTCATTTAACACGACTCTTTTAACTACTGCTTTCTCCCCTCTTTTGAACCATGGCCTTTAATATTTAATTATTTAATTGTTTTTTCTCTGGATTTCAAATATTGGTTTTGATGCTTATTTTCGTTTTGTGTTTTATCTTTTTATTTTGGTTTTTATTCTGTCACTTCTCCATCTCTTATACGTAGCTTATGTCCCTTTTAACATCCCCCCATCAGCCCCCTCCTCCTCCCCCTGCCTCTGCCTCACCCTCTGCTGTTCCCAACGGCCCCCAGTCTCCCAAGCAGCAAAAGGAACCCCTCTCCCATCGCTTCAACGAGTTCATGACCTCCAAACCCAAAATCCACTGCTTCAGGAGCCTAAAGCGTGGGGTAAGTTCTCCTCTGGATACCTCTCTCTCTTCTCTCTCTCTCTTTCTTTTCTTCCTTGCGCTTTTATTGCACGTTCTGTTATGTAAAAACTTTTGTTTTGTGAACGGTTCCATTGTGTTTTATCATAACATGCAGACAAATCCAAGGGTTCCCGACCTATAAAGCCATTTGTAGTCAAAAACCCCACAATGAAACCACAAAAAGTACAGTTGCTGRTGGAAATTACCCATCTGGGTGTCTTGTGGGAGGAGGGATTGTACAAAATATGGAAGGATGAGCTGAACATTGAGTAATACTTATGCAGAAGTCAAAGTCATTAGATTTTTTTGGGTGGATTCAGCTCAATGTCTGTGTCAGAAGGAGAAGAGTAAATTAGGAGGGATTCTAAAAAATCATTATTGTGACTTTAGTTGGTAAAAGTTCAGGCATTTCCCTGGAATGATTTGACATTCTTGCTGGAGCAGTGGGAACTGCTGTTCTGGTCWCTTGGCCTCAGCTTGTGCTTCAAATGCTGCAGTGTTTGTGTGKTAACTCCGAGTCTGAGATGAGAAAGGTGAACTGATTTTGGGTGATAATAAAGTTCTTTCTGTGTGTGAAAGCTCCAAAGCACAGAGTGGAGGTTCTGCAGGAGCAGGATTTAGGATTCCCCTCCAGCAGATGCAGTGCTGTGTGTTAATGCTGGTTTTAGCACTGGATGGTGGAAAGATGCTGAAAACTTCCATGGCTGATGTGGGAGTTCACCTGGGTTTAGGTCACCCTGGACCAGCACTGTGACACAYCCACACTGTYCCCAGCTCAGTGTCYCTGTCTCCTTTGCTGMTGATAAAGAAGGAAATATGRCCTGGAGTTTTCCAGGTCAAAAATRAGGCCTGGAGTTTTCCAGGTCAGCTGCTGTTCCTGTTGCTGATAGCAGCTGTGGTTATATTCATAAACTCCTGTTGAAGTTTTTGCACTGAATTAAATCAAATCCTCTCCATGTTGGTCTTCACAAGCAGTAACTAAAATGTTAGGTCTCTGAGATAAAATTTTTCATTTTTCAAGTAAAAATAAGACTTTWTCTTCCCAGGAGCTCACGTGTGGCATGGTTGTGCTGAAAATTTGCTGGCACAGCATGGCTTTGCCTACTAGGTGAAGGTACTTAGAATTATTTTCTCCTGTAAAAATTACAGGAAGGAGAAAAATGTGTTCAGTATTTTAGATGGTTTTTAGAGCAGAGTGTAACAGTGAGGAAGTGACTACTTAAAAARGCCCAAATTCTGCTCCAGGCACTCATTTAGGACTGAGGATTGGAGCTGTATAAAAGCAGAGATGATTTCAGTGGGAAACTTCAGTGGTTGGTTACAAAGAACTGAGAGCAGTGCTGTAAACAATGCACTGTCTCATCTGGTTACAGACAGCAGTTAAAAATAAATATGTTTTAAACAGTTTCAGTTCTTTGCTAGGAAACTGCCATTTACTGGGACACTCAGAACCCARAACCTCCCATTTCTTCCCATCCCTGTTTCATTGGAGAAGTGGGAAGTTTCTGAACTGTCCAATGTACATGTCCCTCCTTTCCTCACGTGCAGTTCACCTCAGAGCATTTTTCTCAGTGGTTTTTCCAGGAGGAGACAGAGTAAGCAATTTTAACTAATTGCTCTTACTATTTCCAGAAGGAAGGCCATTATTTTATGTATTAACTAGCTAAGAAATCCAAGCAGGCCTTAAAAATTCTGAATGCTTTATTGTTTCAAGTGCTTTGTGTGAAAGGCAAAGTAATGAGAACTGTTTCTTATAATCTTCTCTGGAATCCCTCAAATTTCTGCTGACACGTTCATTGAGAATGTTAAAGGAAGGGCTATTGCTAAATCTTCATTTAAACCTTTCACTGTGTTCTTTTTCTATTTCATTTCCTTCCCCTGTCAGCTACCAGGATGTTTGTGTGTAAATACTTTTCCTGCCTGACTCATCCTGAGGATTTGGAGTCCAGTGTTCAGATCATCACCTCTTTTATCCCAGAGGGATGAATTCAGGCCCCTTGGATTATTCAGAGACATGGAGGAGGAGGAGAGGCTGCAAACTTCTGGCAGCTTCCTCTGTCTCATTTGAAGGCTTGTCAAATTCACATTTTATAGATCTTTGGTGATTTATATTTTACGAATGGTCAGACTAAGAGATCACCAGTGTGCCATATGCCCTTCAAAAATAAAATCATTCTAACCAGGCAAAAAAGAAATCAACAATCACTCACAAATCCTTTTAATTTATCAGGTGAAAAATGAGTGGTTGGTATTTGTTTCAGTTGATATGATCCCTGTTATATTAGCTAGAGCTAGACAATACTGTCAATTCTGCTTTAACCTTATTAAGTTTAGCAAGATTTCCTTTAGTCAGTTCTTTCCTGTAAAATCCAAAACCATCTGAGTTTTGCTCAGGAGCATGAGCAGTGATGTCAGGAATTGTGATTATTGCCAGAGAAGTGAAGAGGATGCATGTGGAAATCTCCTTGACACRGAATATTTGAAATGRATAGAAGTACATCAGGGAAGCAACWTTTGGAAAGTCCTTCAGGGACCATCAGGGCAGCACAGTGTAACAGGACTTTGGCCTCTGGATCATTTCATTTGCTCTGAATTGTCTCTGCACTGCTGGGTTTGTTCCTTGGCAGAATTCCACCCCAGACACCTTCAGTGAAGGTGCCCACAAAGCTCTTTAAGGCTTATTTTAGAGTATTCAGCCAAATTCCAAGCAGGTGCTTCCTGGATTTCTTGATAACCTGAGCTCTTAAATCCTACAAAGCCAGGGGAAAAAATTTATTTCAGGAAAAATGGGATCRCACTCCTTTTTTTGCACTGTYTTAAAGAATAAAGARAAGAAAAGAAACAATTTGACATGAGCAAGTCCTAAAAGCAGCAGGATAAATTCCAGCAGCAGGACTTGCACGTTGTAATTGATCCTTGAAACATAACACGTGAATGGATTCCCATACAACTCCTCCATGAAATCTGTGAGATCAGGACCTGTCTGGAGAGGCAGTGTGTTTTAGCAATTTCCTTTGAAAATTTTGGTTTAGCATCTTATGTTGCATTTGGCAAAATCACTGGCAACTGTTAAAACAAATTATATAATTAGCTATGATATGTCCTGTGCCCAGTCTGGTTTTAATTTTGCTTCCAAACCAAAAATCCARTGAATCTTGTTTTCATGGAAGGAAACAGATGCCTGAACAATTCACAACAGATGCAAGGTTAATGTGGAGGCGCCAATACCAGTATCAGTGGTCACTGCCAATATGAAATCCTAGTCTGTTAAAAAAAAAAGAATTAAATATTTAGGTGCTGACTCTTGTCAGTGTCTATGGTTTTCTAATCACATTTTTGTATTTTCCTCAAAGCTTTTTTCTTCTAATCCCAACAGCAGAAATGTCCATTATAGAGAATACCACAGAACTGTTAGAGCACTTATTAAGGATCAGAATTAGGAGAAGGGGAAAAAACCCTCATACATTTTTTGGTCTTTTTTCTAATAGCTGCTTAAAAAGCCACTATAAAATTAGTGTAACACTTYGAATCAACTTCATCTCTTTAGGGAAGTTAAAGCCAGAAGAGCACAAAGAATGAGGAACCAGTTACATAACTCATAATTTCGTTTATGCTTGCTCTGCTTTTTCTAATTCCATTTTGAGGACAAAGGAAACTTGGTATTCTGCTGGTTGATACTAATTTTGTGTTCTTTTGTTTCATTGCTGGAGCAATAAAAGTAACATCAGCACCTTTTTTTTTAAAGAGCAATCCTCCAAACTAACAACATCCAGGGGTAGAACTTACACCKTCCAATGACTCCGTGTGCGTTGTGTGAACTCGGCTTTTCTCCCTCACCCCRGAGCCYGGGARGTGGCTGAGCAGGGAGGGTGGSCTGGGAGAGCTGGCATCACTGCCAGGATCCGAGTTCCATAAAGCACAYGGTTTTTTTTGTGGTTTCCTTTCTAGTGGAAGTTGTTGACTTCATTCCAATGTGGTTTTATTTCTGTTGTCCCTCTGACACTCGGTGCGCTCCTGTCCCTCGACACCGAGCTCTCAGTCTGCCCCACTGATCAGTTCTTTGCTGTCCTGTGAGGATGCAGAGACAGCAAAGCAAACCACCCCCTCTCCAGCCTGCTCTCTTCCCTGCCCTGGGAATTCTTGCTGTTCTAACCCAAGTGTCTCTCTCTGTGCCAACACCGGGACTTTTTGGCGGGTGGGGTCATGAAAGCCACGGTTTATTCCAGTGCTGACAGAGAGATTTTCTGACCTTGGTATTTAAGCAAACAGTTAAAACCACAGTATTTTCTGATCTCTCTGAGCATGCTGAACTCTTAACATTCACCTGGTTCCCAGGAGGCTCCCACTCTGCACTCTGAGGGTAGTTAAACACCAAGATGTCTTTTGCTGCAGAAGCAGTGAACGCAGAGGTGCCGYGCTCGTCCCCGGTGTAACCAATGTGTGTTTTCTCTTACTGACTCACCAGCAGACACAGTCTTTGTATATTCACAAAGAACTCATGAAGAGGACTTTAGGGACACCYACGTGTGCCATTGAGGCTAGGGAATATGTTGTAAGTCTGAGTATGGTGTGATCAGCCCATACTGTTGCTACACAGTCGCTAACCCCACTTACAACGCCAGCCCGAGTGTGCTGTGGGAATGTGCTTTGTCAAAGAGCCAAGGAAAATTCGGTGGGAGGCAAGTGGCAGCTTACAGTGTGATGTGCAGGAAAGATAATGTCTGCTAGTCCTGGAAATGCTGAAATTGGCACAATTAAAGAGGCTGGACCTGTGAAATTCAAAGTGTGGCAAACAGGTTCCGCATGTTTTTTCTAAATTATTTAATGAATGTGGTTTTGAGCATTAAAAGCAATCACTGATGGACATCAAAAGGTTCTGTGCCTTGGTTGTGGAGCTCTCCCTAGAGCCTTTGGAAGCTTCTCTGAACTGTCTGTAATGATGATAGTTCATGGAATCAAGATATGTGACTTCCAAATCTGGTACTTGGATAAAGCAGAGTATGGGGAGATTGTACAGGGCCACCAAAAAAAAAGAAAAAAAGAAAGAATGAAAATTACTTGTTGGTTGTATGGAAGTCCAGTGATTTATTTCGACCCTGTTTTCTGTAAGTGAGGTTAGTGGCCGTGACTGTCCAATAACACATGGACCTGCTGGCTTTCATGCTCTCTCATGTGTTATTGAAGCTTGTGGCTCTTAGAATCTTCATTATTTCCCTGCAAGACTGAGCTAGGCTTGGTTTAAATTGACAGCTTGAAACGCATTTGCTCATTTGAAGGAAATGTAAGTTATTTGATCATTCAGGGAGAAAATGCCTTTGTTCTCCCAGGAGCTGTGAGCAAGTTTCTAGCTGTGAAAACCCAATAGAATGGGCAAAAGTAGTTACGTAGTGTTTAATGCAGATTTATTTTCAATCTGCTTATATTTGTTTATAGCTACTGAATCACTGTCACATAAAATTACCCATAAATTTCAGAAATGGAAAACTGTGAATATGACTTATTTCAGCATTTCATTGTTTCCAGCCTATGAACTGCTTTATTTATACTGGTTATAACAATCCCTGATGTACTATTTGGAAATGCTATTAATAAGTTCTCTATTTTTTTGTCATACTTAACAGCATAAGAATTGGGCATACAGTGTCTGTAATCCCTTTCAAATTTGCTGAATTTGCAGCAAAAGAATAGCCTTGATGCAGATGATTCTCCGCAGTATTTAGTGCCTTTAGAGTGAGTAGTGTTTAGCCATAGCGCATGTAGCATACATTTGTGCCTTCTTAGAGTGCTTCATAGGTAAATATTTATTCTGCACCATGAGTCTTGTCTGTATCTATGTACAAGAATCTCAATTTGTGCTGATCATGTCTATGCTAAAGTTCACAGGAGTGCTAAAGCAATGATGCAAACACAAGCTGCCTACACTGAATTTCTTCAGACCATTCTTTCTCCTTCTRTGATTACTCTCTCCAATGGATTGGTTTTGTTTGCTTTTTTTATTTTTTTTAAATGGCCTCTTTAGCTCAGAGAGTGAATTTYCTCATGGCACTGTGATTATTATCATGTGTTTGTTCCCTAATGGACTGGACTGCAGAGGGAAGTGTCWCTGCTGCCTTGTCACTGAATGGTCAGTTCACATGCAGCATTTCACTATTATTTCAAGGCCATTTATTTTCCTGGAGTGGCTGGCATGTGTTGCTGTACAAACCCTGGTAACTAATGGGAATTGTTATCTGGGGAAAAAAAAAAAAAAAGTGGATTTCCTAAAACAGCTGTCCACAAGAGGTGTGGAGCCTTTATTTTAAATCCAATCCTAATGAAATGTGRTTTTGATAAAAATGGAGCATCTGTTTGAGAGCAGCACTCCCAGGAGCTGTTGGTAGTAACAGAGAACTTGAATGGAAAGAGATTCCCCAGTCTGGCAGCACAAATCCTTGCCTGGAGAGAGACATTTTCCAGCTTTTACCTCTCAGTTTTTAACACAGAGCTCGTGCTTGTATGCACCTCAAGTTTGTTGGGTGGTTGGAGCATTTCACAAGTGTCCCCAGAGCTGGCAGGGCAGCTCAGTGCCCATTGCTGGAGGAGGAGGAGGAGGCTGGGTGGAGTTTGGATTCTCCTTTTCTATCTGGCTCGAGATCTCGAGCAGCAGCTCTGCTTGTGCTTGGCACAGAGCTGAGCACTGTTTGTCTCCCTATCTCTTGGAAATCCTTCTGACCTGCAGCTGTTTTGTTGTTTTGCAATGCTGGAAGAGGCTTGGGGAATTTTGGTGGGGGGTGCCCAGGCACAGTTGTTCACCTGGGATTTTCTGGGTGTGCAGGTGAGGCAGGGCAGGGACACGGCTCCATGGCACTCACTGCTTTTATTCTTGTTTTCCCAGAGTAACAAAAAGATAATGTTTGGGCTCTGTCCCAGGAAATGTGGTAACATCTGAAGAATTAGATCATGTATATCATTTAAGGAGGTTGAATAATGTCTTGCCATGCTGTCATAGAATCAATTTGGTGTCAAGAGAATAGATTGTTTTTCTCCTCCTCCTTGGGCCTGACCTTGTCTGACTATGGCCAAAGTGCGTTGGAGTCTGAGTATTTGTTTCGGAATGGTTCAAGAATGTGAAATGGCTCTCTGTGCCTGCCTGGGCAGCACTCTGCAGTCCCCAGGGATGGTCCAGGGCTGTTGGCCTTTGGCTGTAGCCAGAGAACCAGGCATTCCCTGGACATCTCGTGGTGCTGGGTGCTGCTGGAGCCGCTCCTCGCCTCCCCTCCAATGTTTTCCTCAGGGGTTACCCCCTCCCTAAAGCCYTTCCATGAAGTAGCTGATGCATTTCAGCACATTTTTGATGTAAAGTGATGCCCATACATTTGCAAGTTGTGAATTTTTCCCATTTGAGTGCTGCTGCTGCGCTGAGAGCTCCCACAGTTGATGTTGTGGCTGCTCTCAGTCAGTCCAGGGCTGATTTCACCTGTGCCCAGCACATCCCAATCCCATTTCTGGCCAGGTCACGGCAGCTGCCCGAGCCCATCTTGTGAACTTTTGCACAGAACTTTTAGTGTGACCCATTTTGCCTTCCAACAGCAAAGGGATTGTGTCATTTTATTGTAACATCAGCCTGAAAAAGTTCCTCTTCTACTGATGCACTGTTGTTTTTTCTCTCTCTCCCYCCACCCTGTATCTCTCCAATTTTACATGAAGCTTTCTCTCAAGCTGGTAAGCACATTTACAGCATGCCTGTCCTGTGTTTTAATCACAATTTCCTGTGTGTGTTTTAATGTGCACTGTGCCACATGTTGACATGACACTGAAATTAACTGTCAAATTTGTTTCTTCTCTGTGTTTGCTTTTTTTGACATTTATCAGATAAATCTGAATACACAGGTCTGGAATCTTTTAGAGGTGATCAGAATTCAGTCTTCTAATAAGCTGCTAAAAAAATTAACTCTAATATATAGTTTAGTTTTCACTTTTATAATCTAGGGCTATGAAAATGTAGAAAAGCAGTATCAAGTAATTCTGYTACTGTATAAGTATACATTAAAATATTACAAAAGGGGGAAGAAATTAAAATAAAGGTCTCTGTGCTTGCTGGACTTTTTCCAGAGAGCCATGCATGTCTTTCGTGTAAAGTAGCTGCAAAACTTGCTTTCCATGTCCAGTATTACTGGAAATCTGCATCATTATAACCTACATTTTACAGCCCTATGTAGTCCTTCCAAATAACCAATAATGACATTAATTAAAGTTCTGTAAAACCTTAACCAACAAGGTTAACTCAATCTGATTTGAATTTGCAAATGGAGAGATATGCATACATGTGAATCCTAAATTCCATCTTGGATGCAGCTGGAAGGTTGCTTGAACTGTGGTAAGATAAAAWTGTCACTGAGCTGGGAAGGGAAGGGCTGAGCAGACCTGGGAAAGCAAATCATGTGCTCAGCTCCACACACAAGGTACTGTTTTTTCTTGAGACACTGCACACCTTGCTGTGCCCTGCCAGCTTTGTCTGCATTCCTCTGGCCCTGGAGAGCCCCTCAGCAGGGGAATGTGCCCGGTTTGCTGACCCACCCTGTGCAAGCACACAAGAGCCACAGAGTGATGGTGTTTAAAGACCTCAGAGGATCCTCAGGGGCTCCCAAACTGCATCAGCCTCCACATTCTCTTGTTCCTCACCAGTTCATGCCTTTGGGTGCTCTTCCCCTCCACTTTCCCTTCCCTGGCAGTGTCCAAGGCCAGGCTGGACGGGGTTTGGAGCACCCTGGGATAGTGGAGGGTGTCCCTGCCCATGGCAGGGGGTGGAACACAATTGTTTCATACAATCCTGGAATTTCATACATATCTTGTGCTTGTGGGCCTGTTCTGCTCAGGGCAGCTCATCCAGAGGAAACGTGGGCCAGCAGAGCTGCTCTGGCAGTCTCAGGTCCTGACTTTCTTGGCCTCCCTTTAGMAAGGTTGCTTCTCACTGGAGACCTGTGCCAGGTCTGAGGAAGGATGGRAGTGCCTGGAATACTTGCAAACCTTTTTTTGGCCACTGTCCTGGGAGTGCAGTGCAGTTGTGCTGGATTTCCACTCATTTTCTTGCTCTTGGTCACAGTGCTAGTGTGCTGTGTAGCTGAGTTAAGCCTTTGTATGTAGGGATAAATCCTCCAAAACTGGCCAACCTGGCTTTTCCCCAGGAATGACACAATTTGGGAAGGTGTGCAGAGAGGGCTGAGACCCATTTTCACCTCAGGTGAAGAAAAGCAGCTTTTGTATTTCCTCTTGAATCCTTGCTGTGCAAGAGCCAAAGCTGGGGCTGAAAATGCTCATGCTCTCCTCATCTGTAGCTTCAGCCCAGAAACTGCTCCTAACACAGCCTCTGTTTTCACAATGCTTCATCTTGGGACAATTTGCATCCTATATCCCAGTACCTTTCTGCAAAGAAACCTAATGGGCAGCACATCAGAAACAGCACAGCTTTCTCTTCCACCTCACCGCTGCAGCCTTTCTAAAAACGTAGGAAATGTGCACAACTTGAGAGGAAGCCCACGGGTGGGTTTGTGCTTGAGAGCATGAAATGCCCCCAGCATGTGCAAAAACTGCTCCTTGACTCTCGTGCAGCTTCTGATAGGAAATTCCCGAGCATGGAAAAAAGTCAGAGTGAGATCAGCTCCCAGCCTTGGGTGTGCAGCTCTCCTGCTCTGAAGCACTGTGGACAAAGCTGCTGGATTTTATCCATCTTACAGCTTCAGAATGAAGTTGAAGAATCAAAAGCAAGACGTCAAAAAGAAGATGCTTTTTGGGATTTGACTCTATCTGTTGCTACATTCTGCTGATGTAAAACTGGGGATATTTTCAAGTCTGTCTCTTCTGCTTAGAAGTGAGGAGGATTTGTCAGAATATGCTATCTAGACTTATTTGTTTGCAAAGGTGCCTCCAGATGCTTTGCCTTAAAAAGATGTGTGGCTTTAGTGCAGGTTATCCATAAAATAGATTGAATCATTCTCATGTCTGTTGTGATGTGGGAGTTGCTGTCAAGCAAAATCTAAACATTCAAGAATAAATTAAAATAGATCTCTCCTCTAGCAGGCAAAACAAGTAAAGTAAGCTCTGTTAGGGCTCCGTGTGGGTAAAGTTTCAGAATCAGCATAACTTTCTCAGTCATTTGTCTTAAAAATTTGCTTTCTCATTGTCTCACAAATGGAATTTTAAGTGTATTATTACACACATGATCAAGGCATAACTAGAAGCACGTGCCAGGTTTGACTGGCAATCAGGGCAGCAGCAGTTTCTTTAGGCCTGCTCTGCTATTTTGGAATGGCCAGTCCAGAGGAGAAGTGACCTGTGCGTGGCTGTTCTCTGACACCCCCACACTCTGGTGTTGAACAKTTTGTTCTGCAGCTGCAGGAGAAAGTCACAGTGTCCCAGCACATTCAGTACAGAGYCAAGGGTCTAATGAGCAGCTTTTGTGGCAGTGTCTCCTCTAAATTTCACTGCTCAGAGAGAAATTTGGTGTTTTAGCAGGACTGATGTCCCAGCCCTGCTCACAGGCTCTCAGGAAGCTGATGCACACTGAATTTGGTYACTCAGCTTTGTGTTTTTACCCTTCTTTCTCCCATATTCCCCCTTAGAAATGGGATATGGAAAAAGCAGAAAGCAAAACAACCAAAATCTGCCCAAATTCAAGTTTATATATGAGAACCTCATTCCCTTCTGGTGCAACTCATCAGCATTGATGTGTGTTCAGTGTAGCCCAGCCAATCTGTCCCCCATTGCSTTCTGGCAAGACAAAAATAGGTGTTACTGTGAAGAAAAGAGTGTGGATGTGTTTTATGTGTCATCTATCTGCTATATCAAATTGAGGCAATCAAGAAGAGGCATAGCAGAAGGCAGAAAAGGGCTTTGCAAGCAGAACCACACCAAGGTAACCACGGTGGTCTTCACTATTTTTTTTTCTTTTGGTTATGTTTTCAAACTGGCTGATTCCATGGCTTTGAAATAACTTCTGGTTTTTATGTGAGTGCAAGTGAGAGAGGAAAAGTTGAGAGGCTTTGGCGTGGAATGTGGACCCTGGGAAGTAAGCAGCATGTTTTTTAAATTGCAGAATCCATTGGGGAATGCTTCTGTCAGCTTGGTGTGTTCAGGAGGGCCCTGACATAAATCAACTGTGTTGGACCAGCACTCAGTCAGCAGTGCACAGGAGAAATGCAACTGTGACACAGGAGCAGAAGTCAGGAACTGCTTTTATGGGAATGCTGTTTGTAGCAGAGCAAAGGAAGGCAGGAAGGATCAGTTTTCCATGAGAAGGAAACTCTGTTAAATAAAATCTGATTATAAAACTGTAGACAAAAATAATTTCTCAGCTTTGACGTGGAATTCTGGAATTCTCTAGCTGATCTTCCGTTAGCCACTGTTAGGGAAGCAGGATGTGGTCCTGGGATCCTTTCTAGGGCATCCAAGATTCCTCACCATTCAGGGGCKGATAACCCAATAAAAATTATATCAGTGCTTCAGACCACTGTGATTTTGCACAGGTTTTTGTGAGCTGTTTTCAAAATGCAGTCCTAAAGGATTCTTTCAGATTCTGATTATTATTTTTTTTTTCCTTATTCCCCTCCCCCTCCATTCCACTCTGTGCAGGGAGCAGGCCCAGAAGACTTCAGCAATCTCCCACCTGAGCAAAGAAGAAAGAARCTTCAGCAAAAGGTCGATGAGCTAAACAGGGACATTCAGAAGGAGCTGGATCAGAGGTGAGTCAAACCACTCCAATGAAAGGTGAGATTGCACTGGGCAGAGCCTTTGTGTGTGAGGGATGAGGGCAGATCCCAACAGGAGAGGCTTTATGGGATGATGGCATCAGCCAAAGTCACTCTGATGTGTGGCTTAGATTTCCTGGAAGCAGGAAGATAATGACTCCTGTGYTTTGTGAATGCTTTTTCTACAAGGCTGCATTTATCATTCTGGTTGAGAATAAGGCTATTTTAGCTCCACATTTTTAATTGATTCTGGCAGCTTGTATTTGTGCTTTGTGTTTGTTCACATTCTCCAGCTGCATTAAAGATTCAGCATGTTTTGTTTGTGAGACACAGAACTTTTCTACCCTGAAGGATTTTGAGACTGGCCTGTCCCCTAAATACTGTTTTGCATTTGTGCCTACATTTTGTGTCAGCTTGCTTTCAAGAACTTCTTTATTTTGCCTACTAACCCAAAATTTCATCTTTATATTTTATATCACGAATAAGACAGGAAAATGGCACGTGGTTATACGATTTCTCATTGCTTTGGTTTTTTCCTCTGTGGTGGCTTAGATTTGTCTCTGTGCAGGTTTTTCTTTCTGCTCTACTGATTCTGAGGTAACCCAATGTTAAAATAGGATATGGGATCAGAGCAGAGTGAAATTTTTAAATAGTTTATGACAGAGAAAATAGCACCAGCAGTTAAATCAGAGTTAAACAAATGGTAATAATTGTGAGTCATGTGTTTGCAACATTGTCCCTTAAGGCTTCAGGCACAGAGCAGTCCCATTTCCTCACCACCCACACTTTTTCCCAATTTCCATGCACACAAGGCAAAGGCACAGGATTGCAATTGTCAAGAGTTTGGTGGGAAACTCGAAAATATAAAGAGTGTTAACTTGAGTCGTGGGACTCACATTAACCTCTCTCCCACCAGYTAATACCTAGAGAAAAGCTGAATAGTTGTGCCTAAAATCAGCCCATAATTCCATCTTTCAGCTCTGAAATGTCCATCAGCAGCTGAGTGAAGCTGCCCTGGGACTTGGCTGGCTGCAGGGTCACATTTTGTAGCCTCCARTCCGTCTGTCCCTGTGCTGTGACAGACACAAAACATCTGGAGCCAGCTTTGTTTCAAACAGTGTGAAACAAATAAATATCTTACAGATTRTTTGGGTTGCAAAAGACAAACTGCAATGGGCAGGGTGAGAATTTCTGGTTTGCACTCCATTTCTGTTATTGAGGCATCTTTGTCCCAGTTTCTCAACTGGAGGGCAGCCCATGATGGACAATAATGATGCAACTGTTAGTCTGTGCCCCCCAAACTGGGAAGATATTAGTCTGGAAAGTTGGAGCTGTCATAGATTGCAATTGTTGTGAGATTTATTATTATTGTTCTTCCCCAGGGCAGCAAGTTGATGTTATTGTACTACATAAAAAACCATGTCAGCCTAAAAATCAATATCAAATATATTCTCAYATTGTAGGTAACTCATGGTTTTTCATCTCTGACAGTGTAAATCTTCTTCTGGCAAATTATTTTACTGCTCTTTTTCAATGGCTGGYTCTAAACAGGGCAAAAGCCCCATCTGGGTGTTCTCAGTGTCTTTTGTAACAGCTTAGGTTGAACCTCAGARTGAAGAGGAGACTGTTTATTATCTTTTCATTTGTGCCCATGTGAAGAAAGGCATTTATCCCCCACTGAACTGGCACATATTTTATTTTATTTTTGCCCCTCAGAGATGCCTTAACGAAGATGAAAGATGTGTATGTCAAGAACCCCCAGATGGGAGATGCAGCGAGCGTGGACCACAGATTGGGAGAGCTGGGGCAGAACATTGAAAAGCTGCGGTTGGAAGTTCAGAAATTCGAGGTATGGGGAGACATTTCTGTAAAAAACACCTCAGCAAATCCTCAGGACTGAGCAGGGGCTTCCTGGCTTTTCCAGATGTGCTGATGCTCTTTGCTGTCTGTGGGCAAGGGCCACCTGAGCACTTGAATTATTTGGGGTCTTTGAGCTGATTTGTGCAACACAAACACGCACCATCTCCTGTGGCTGTCAGCCCACAGTTAAATCTGCCACAGAAAGCAAATTCTGCTAAGTGGAGGTGAAGAGAAAATGTGCTCTCTGGACTGCCCAGAGGGCTTCAGATGTTTATTTAATTAATTAAATAAATTGAAGCATCATGTTACCGACATCTGTGGAAAATCAGAGTGACATAAATGCAAAGCACCGTTTAGAGACGAACAGCAAGACAGGAGCCATYAGATGAAATATGTTTTAAGGAACAGCCTGCCATGAGCAGGAAGCTGCTTAGTGATATAAAAATCTCCAGAGCAGAAGGGGAGTGTTTGGARTATATGAAGCCCATCATAATTACATAAGAAAGATTAGAAGGCTGAGAAAAGACTTAGCTTTCTACATTATGCTTTGAACATAAACAGATACACCCCATTAATTTCAGATGTGGTTTTGCTCTCCATTTCTTTCTTACCTATTTGAAATCAGTGGCCCTTTTGTTCTCCCCAGCTTTAGCTCTTGTGCATTCAGCAGTCCCAGAGATTGCTGAGTTTCTGGTGTTACTGAGACTCCTCCAAGCTGCCACGCATCTTTTTACTTGATTGTGACTAGAGCAGCTTCACCTCCTTCTCTGTGTCAGGGTGTTTTCAGTACCCAGTGCCAAAAAATTATTACATATTCAGTAAGTTTTTCAGCAAGACCAACAGATTTAATATTCACATAAAGTCCAGAATCTGAACAACTGACTACTGCCTCTCAAAAGAAAATGTGACCATGTTTACAAATCAGTCTGTGTTCTGTAGCCTGGGTGTCAGGAGTGTCCCAGCAGGGTGAACTCTCTGTCTGTCTGTCTGTCTGTCTGGCAGGGCTGGCTGGCAGAGGTGGAGGGGCGGCTCCCAGCACGGACAGAGCAGCCCCGGCGCCAGAGCGGGGTCTACGAGACTCAGAACCCATCAGGAGTGAACAGCTGTGCCCAGGACCGTGAGAGGTACAGTATCTGTACAGGGCTGGGCCCTGCAGGCACACACAGGGGCTCTGCAGCCTCATCTTGCCATATCCCAATCCAAGAGCTGCTTTGGGGTACATTCCTGAGCTGTATGGCAGCCCACTCACTCACTGCTGTGAATTTTTACAGCTTTTAGGGGTAAAAATGAGGGGTCTCACCCATCTGGTGTCAGATGGGTGAATCTCAGCTCTGGAATCACTGAGCTGCTGCAGCTGGAGCTGCTCCCTTGCCTCAAAGCCCTGGTGGCTGAATTCTCCCTGCTTCTGAGGTTGGTCGCTATAGTTGCTGTGTTTTTCCTCTCTTGAGCAGCCCCGATGGCAGTTACACAGAAGAGCAAAGCCAGGAGACTGAGWTGAAAGTACCTGCAACAGACTTTGACGATGAGTTTGATGACGAAGAACCACTACCCACCATAGGAACGTGTAAAGCGCTCTACACATTTGAAGGTATCACTCAAACCTTACCCTCCTTTCACTGACTGGGGTTTTTTTCAGTTCACATGCCAAGGGCAAGTGAGGCTCTGATTCTATAGAAAGACAGGGATTTTTCTCCTGTCACACAGGAATTGTGCAAGAGAAAGAACCAAAAYTCTGCTGTCAGGATCACATTTGTCAGGCTCTTTCTGTGCTCCAGAACCACAAGCCCCAGTGAAGCACCAAAAGCTGTGTCTACACATGGTCTGAGCGTGCTCTGAGCTCCCTGTGGTCCCTGAAATCCCTGTTGCTGTGTGTTTCAGGTCAGAATGAAGGAACAATCTCTGTAGCAGAAGGAGAGATGCTCTATGTAATAGAAGAAGACAAAGGTGACGGGTGGACGCGAATCCGAAGGAACGAAGACGAGGAGGGCTATGTCCCCACATCCTATGTTGAAGTCTATTTGGACAAAAATGCCAAAGGTGCTATGACCTATATTTAATGCTATTATTATTGTTTTATTTGCTTGCACAGAGATAATCCAACCCTGAAGCTGCTCTGTGTTGCAGATACAGCCTTTTAAGAGTCTGTACAATGCCACCAAGTGCATTATTCCGTACGTGGACTAATTATGGCTTGTTGTACTGCAAAACGTGCTTKTTGTGCTCAGAGAAGGGTGGTGTGGGGGACTGTGAAACCAGAGGGGAAATGCAGCCTTTCCTGGACAGTGTTTGCTCAACTGGCACTGCCACTGCACACCCAGCTTAGTGCAGGAAGCACAAAGCTCTTTGGGATCAGGCTCTCCTCAGATATCCAGGTGGCATCTCAGACACATCCACAAGTCAACTGTTTGTCCCAAAGTCACTCGGTGGAACTTTGAATAGGAAATGTTTAGACTGCTGGTTTGTGTCTGTGGGAGCTTTTGGGTTGGAACCTGGTGGTCATTTAGTTGGTGTGTGTGGAAGGGGAAGGAGGGATCTYGCCAAAACCCCTCTACACAGCACTCTGTGGTCCTTGATAAATGGATAAAACATTAAGAAAGCTCCTCTGTTCCTTCCCACCTTTAAACATTTCAGATGTATTTGCTCTTTCAGATGACCAGAACTAATGGTTTAATCTTTTGCTCACACGAGATCAATGGAGACATTCAGAGTTTGGACTCTGTAAGGTGCTGTTTGTTGCTTTTGATTCCTCCCAAACAGGTTGTGTTGTGTGAGGGAGCAGAGCTGCAGGGCAGAGCTGGCTGGAGTAAAAGCCAGTGCTCAACGCCTGGTAATGAATACACCAAGAAATCAAAAGATTTTAGCCCTGCTTCAAATCAGGACACGTTAGAACHCCACTGTTAAATAATTGGTGTTTGTTTAGTCACTTAATCCTTCAGATTATTGTTGTGTTTCCTAGACCTGAGAGTTCTTGGTGTGAAACAAGGGGCCTCATCCAAGTCAAAAGCAAACTGAACCTTTTTCATTGGGGTTTGTGGGCAGTAGGCAGAGAGGAGCACGACTGTGTGAACCAGCACTAAAACTTGAGCAGTTCAGTGTTGGTTTGGTGTTAATCAGTGCAGTGCCTTGTCTGCTGCAGGTGAAAATCTGGGCTTTGTTTTATTTTGCCATAATACGGCAGTTCTATGTTCCTGTTGGCAAATCCAGGGGCAGCTGGGATGCAGAAGGGTGCAAAAAGCTCAGCCCCTCTGTTGGTTTCTATTAAGCTTTGAAAGAGGAACGGGATTTCTTCTTTATATCCAGGACAAGGCCAAAGGATTGGAAATCATGGAATCACAGATTGTTTTGGGTTGGAAGGGACCATCTCATCAGATACCTTCCATCAGAGTAAAAATGCAAACTGTGCTGGGGGTGAAGGCTGAYAGAGCTGCAGCCACTTCTGTAGCCACAATGGAGGTTTTCAGATAATTTTAAGTTTTTCCATTGATTTTGCTGGACTTCAGCAACAAAATTAAATGTATCTGTGGATATCTAATGTATAGGAACTATGATGTTTACCTCTTTTATTTCTCAATTCTCTGGTTGAAAAGAAAAGCTAWAAGAGGACTTTTCATAGAATGCAGCATAAAGATTTGGAGCAAATGCTGCTGTGTTTAAAAGATTAAATTTGTTGCAAGCTGCAGATTTTTTTTATTTGATTTTTGAGGAAGTGACTTGATTCAGTCCTTGAAATGGAAGCGATGACATTCCTGAAGATAAGGCTGTACATACTAAAGCATTTGCAAACTTTAGTAATCCTTTCCTCTTTTGGGGAAGAAGGTTGAGCAGCTGGCACCACGAAAAGCTGCTGGCAGAAGGGTGGGAGCTTCCAGCACTCCCTGTGAGTGTCCCAGGCAGCAGAGTCAGTGTTGGCTCAGTGTCACCTGCCCGGCCAGGCTGTGCCTGTGCCATGAGCCACTGCTCAGTGCTTTGGGAAAAGCTCAGTGCTTTTGGGAAAAGCTTTTCACTCATCTGGAGCCTGTGCTATCAGGGCTCTGCTGCAGGACTGAGCTGAGCAGGACAGGTAAGTTTTGTGCTGCTGATGATATCTCAGAGGAGCCAAGCTGGGGCTGTGCCCTGCCCTGTGAGAGCTCCTGGTGACATTTTCAGGGGCGCCTCTGCTCAGAGGGTGTTGGCAAACCCTGCCACATAAAGAACAGTAATGCCTATCTTGTTTTGCCTTTTTTTTTTTTTTTTCCAGATGTGCACAAACCACTTCAGAAAATCTCTGAGTAGGTTTGCATAGGCCTGCCCACCCTTTATTCTCCTGGTTTGCTGCTACGGTTGTTTTAAGAGCTCTCTTTGAGAAGGTTTTCTTTAGAAGAGATGAAAGCACATGTCATATCTCCATCACTGAAAGACTTTGTTAGGTACCAGGTCGGCTCTGAAATGTCCCTGCTGAGGAAGGTGCTGCCCTGAMCATGTCCATTTAGTGCAAACAGCATTGCTGTCCTCCCAAACAGGAATGAGAGCTGCACGAAGCTGTTCTGTGCACACCTGGGTGCAGCACCTTGCAGGGCTTTTCTGTCCCCATCCGGTGTCTGGTGCTGACAACTCTCAAACACAGGAACCAGTTGGGCCTTTCAGCTCAAGACTGACCACCCTGTGTTGCTGACTGTGGTACCTCATCATCTGCTTGGCTACAGAGCTGTCTTTCACTGAGGGATGTTGTGAAATGGTGTGAGACACAAAAAATCCTGCGTGGAGTAAGCAGCTCTGTGTGAACCCTGCATTGCACCCAACAGAAATGCCACGTTCCCTTGCAGCACAGAGCCTRGCTGTTTGTTTGGGTGCCATGCAGGAACAGAGGCTGGTTTGGGAAGTCAAATTTCTTGATAAAAACTATTTTGGAGCCGTGGGCTGCTGAGCATTTTGGCTCCTTTGTCGCTGTGGGTCTGTTCCCCCTCACCTCTGATGATCTCAGTCAYTCCTTATGGGCAGCTCTGGATTCCCAGTGCTGCAGCTCTGCTGTTTGCTGTAACCATCGTGCAGAGCCTTGACTTACATAAATAAATAGGTAAAAGTTAACCACGCTGATGCACTTTTTATCTAGGATATATCTGATTATTTAATGCTTGCCAAATTATTTAGGAATCGGTAATTATAAACTGGACTGTGGCTCTTAAAAAAATCCTTTTTGTTAAATATGTGCCCTTAGTTCTCCCAGTATAAAAAAAATTGTATATAACATAACTTAAAAACTAAAGTTACTTGAATTTGAATTGTTTTTATCCTTTTATATGTGTATAAATATAAATGGTTTTATAGGCTGTTCTTCTGCTTAACCCAGCTGTTTTGGTAACTACTCAGTCCCTCTGATGTTAAGTGTTTTTGGTTACTCAGCTACCTGGACTTGCATAGGAACTGCTATTGTGTTAAGGTTTGTTCAGTCTGGCCAGTGTGGTTGTCTTGTTTCTATTCTTATTTTTTAAAGAATCATCATCTGTCAGGAATCTCTTTATAGCTTGATGTACCATGGTGTCTTCTTCTAATAAACATTATATTTTCTCATTCCTGTGAGGTTTTGGTTTTTGGGTTTTTTTAAWGGCAGTCATTGGTAGATGGTAATAATTAGTGGCAAAAAATAGTGACGTTTAACTTTCCTAAGGGACAGCAAATGGCCCAGAGCTGCTTCCCACACAAAGTACAAATTATTTCTCTTCAGTTCCTCTTCAAGAAAAATWCTTTGTTGTGGTTCTTTGAAAATTTTTTTGTGCTGTCATTTGGAGGGATTTTATGGAAATGGGTGCAAAGRAGGTGGGAACGTTCCCCATGTCTCTTGAATGCAAAGGAATTTGGACTCATCCTGAATTCCCTTGGAGACAGCAATTTGGGCCAAATCACGCTCCTGGATTGCAGCTTCACTTGGCCAAAGGAAAAACCTGCCCTCAGCACCAGTCTGTGGGATCAGGGATGGGCAGAGGATGGGTTTGGAGGCTTAGGCTGGTTCACTGASCTGTGTATTCCTGGGCTTCCCTAGAGAGAGCAGGAAAGGCCTCTGCAGCCTTTGGAGGAAAGGAAAGGAAAGCTCTGGATTCCTCTGCAAAGTYGTTGATTTAATTTCCTGTTGTTCAGTGTCGTTGATGGTCTCTGGAGCTGTGCTCCAGATGCAGTGCTGCTTTGCAGAAAATGMAAAAGCTGTTTGTTTTCTCAGCAGCACGAGGCAGGTGCTGGCAGGGTCCTGCTCCTGAGCTTTGCTGCCTGAGCAGAGCAGAGTCCCAGTGATGCCCATCCCAGGCTGAGGGTGAAGGGTTCCACAGTCAGGAGCCTTCCTTAACCCAGTAGATGCTTYACTGCTCTATTTCCTTTAACCTTCTGCAGGCAGAGCTGCTCTTAAGGCACCCCATTTTCCCCAGCCTCTTTCTAATCCAGTCTCTTTCTTTTTGTCTTTCTTATGTTTTAGATTCCTAAAGGTGTTTGTGCTGGTGCAAGAACCTCGGGGCGAGCTTGTCACAGAAGGAGAAACAAAATGGTCTGTTTACCCTGCAGGCAGTAAAACACACCCATGGAAAGCCAGACTCCCAGTCTTGTCTGGAGTTCCCACTTGAAAAATTCACACCTAAATTCCATCCCAGCACCATTCAGATGCTTGCTCTTTTCCATGGCATGCTACTTGTGGCTTGGGTTTCCTTATCAGCCTTTCCCACTCTTCTGCCAGCCTGGAACAACCCTTCTCTCAAACATAACACACATTTCTCCCAACCCAACCCAACCCCTCCCAGCTTCTGTCAGGGAGCTGCTGGCTGCCTTTGGATGCCCAGGGCAGCCAGAGAGCCCCAAGCATGTGCTGGTGTGTCTCCTGTCCCCTTGTCCCTCAGTCCATCTGAATGTACACACTGCTCCATCAGCATTTCACACGGTGCCTTTCGTGCCAAACCTGCAGCTCCTCTCCAGAGAGAGTGGAAAGGAGGTGGAAAAWCCTCCCCATGGAGCAGTGTGACAGCAGCTGGACTGGGCTCTCTCCGTTTGTCAATATTAAATCTGATCCACATGCATTATTCAATATTCTGCCTTCTCCAAAAGGTCACTAATACTTGTCAGCCTTTATTTCTCTTTTTTTCAAATCCAGGCTGATGCCCATTCCAAGTATTAAATCCCTCTGACCCTGCTGTTTCCTGAAACCCTCCAAGCTCACGTATGTACTTGTTTTCCTGCTTGTTCCGTCTGCCCCCTCCCGTGTTCCTGCTGTTCCTCACACACACACAGACACACACACAGACACAGACAGTGGCATTTTGGTTGGCAGCCCTTGTTGCTGCTCACAGGCCCCGTTTGGCTCTCATTTCAGCCTGCATGCTCGCCCTGTTGCCTTGCCTGCGCCCACCTTCCTCAGGGTCACGTTATTTTGTGGCTCGTGGTTTAATCTCTTTGCAGTTTTCTTTTGGTTGGTTCGTTTTTTTCAGCATTTCAGACCTGCCTTTTCTTTTTGCATGACCTCCTGTGCGTTCTCATCAGTTCATGTCTGAATAATGGAGTTTTTTTAGATAAATAAAAGAGGAAAGAAAAAAAAACAAAAAGAAACCGCACTGTTTCCTTCTCCCATCTTGTCGTGGACTGGACCTGGACMCAGCAGCCAGACAGGAATTGTGGCCACTCTGTTCTCACATGGTTTGGTTTGAAGCAGAAGTAGGATGATAAGTGATTCTGCACTTTATCATGTCATGCAGTGGTGAGAGAGCTACAATATCTCCAAATATCACATGATCCGGACCTCAACTGCCTAACAAAGGGTCAATTCCTCTCTAAACTTCTGTATTCTAACTTGGTTGCCCCTGAATTGTTACCATTGCCTGGGTTTTACACTCATGGACATGTTGGAGCCCTGCAAGAGTCAGTTGCCACTAAAGAGCTCCTGAGGGCCAAATTTATTCATGGATCAACACCTCGTTTGGGGGAACCTACTGCCTCTAATCCAACTCCAGCATGTTCTGTACAATCCCCACAAATTGAGAAATTTTACACGGAAGCCACTATGGGCAGTGACCCCAAAAYGAAACCTCTCAGGGTTTGTTTGCAGGCATTGGAGTGTTGCTTTGCTGCCTGCTGGGCTGTGCAGGGTCAGCACATCAAAACACATCCCAGAATCTCAGATTCATTCCCATGGGGGAATGAAGTGATTTTTGAGCTGGGTTGTGTGTTTTATTCATAACTCAGTCCCTTTCTTTCCATTCATGATGCCAACTTTTCTTTTTACCAAGTCCCTTGGTGCTACAGTTCATCCTGTAGCTGTTGTGTGATGGTGCTTAAGAGTTGCCAGCATCAACCAGCAGAAGGTTTGTGATTTAAACCCAACCCAAATGTGCTGAGCACAGGCAGCACCAATGCTGGGGTTGCTCTGCTGCAGCACTGGAGGGTCAGAATCCATCAAATCACCACCTTATTGCTGCTGCTGCTGCTGCTGTGGGCACTGAGCTGTTCAGATCAAGAGCAGAATGGGATCCCCATWGCTGGCACCTGTGGTTTTGTGGCATCCACCTGCCAGGGGATCTAAAGGGTTGAACAATTAATAAGGTGTGCAAAAATATCCTTAAAATATTTTTAGCTGCAGGATTTTTATTCTCGTGTCCAATGCACTGTTGAATCAGCAGCTAAGAATCCATTTTCACCTATTGTTGTGCCATCTATGTAAAAATTAGATCAAAGTTTGCTTTTCTATATTTAATCTGGGTGGACAGTATATTATTGTCAGCCTCTGTGGAACATTGGAACAATTGCAATGTCTGTGTTGCTAAATTGTGCTGTAGAAGGAGCATTAGCTTTAGCTGACTGATTGACTCCTGAAGTTTTATTAACAGACCAYGGATGGAGTTTTTATAAACTTGGCAAGTAGTTCCCAAAAGCCTGGATCTTAAAACTTATCTAAGAAATAGTGACAGTCATATCTCATAGTCTGCACACGTTTATTCCGCTGCTGTTATTCAGGGTAATTAATAATTTTTGTAGAATTTACCTTTGGCAAACGCTGAAGAACTAAACATGTGACTGGTTTATAAAAACTCTGCTTGGATTTACTAATCTTGCCCAGCAGCGTGGACTGTACATCCTATGAAATTTCATGATCCCCAGCCAAAGTCTCTAATGCCCTTTCTTACCACCTGTAAATAGAGAAAAAACGTATTTACTGATACTCAAAAGTTGTGTTTAATGCTGAGTATTTTTCAGAAGTTCATTTAGTTTGATGCATATTGTTCTTTGTTTTTTTGTTTTCCTGCCTGAAATGTCAGAAGACCTAAAAGAAGCCAAATTCTATTTTACCATGATGATGTCGAGCACTTTTTTTRTTTGTATATGTGTGTGTATGTGTGTTTGAGCACTGATCTCGAGATCTCGGTGGCATCTCAGTGTTGTGATTTCATTGCCAATGTAAAAGGTTCTGGTGTTGCCCGTTCATTTCTGGAGACAGAATTCAACCAAATAAAGTGCTTCCATTTGAAAGCGAATATTGACCTTGTAGCAATGRAACAAAGTCATCTGCATATTTAAATAAACATTTAATTCCAGAAACAGAGTTTCACTGAGCCCTTTTGATCAGCCAGACAAGAAGAAAAATGGGTTTGTGGCTTTTCTTTCCCAACAGAAATGTTGGTGYCTCTTTGCTGGGGCTCTTGGGGCTGTTGAGGTGCAGCCATCACCCTCCAGGAGCTGCTGCTTCCCATGGATGTGTCCAGTGGAAAATGGGAATTTGAATTTGGCTGTGACTGCTGCTTCAGCCAGAGAAATTCAGACTAAAACCTCCCCAGAGCAGATCTCTTATTGCTTATTWTTTTTCCTGATTGTGGGAAGAACAAGTGGATCAGGCCTTTTCCAGTGTGATGCTGTGAGTACTGGAAACTCGGGGAAAAGATTTCATCTTAGGAGARAGTTGTACCATGGAATGCCTGTAGCAAATGCTCTGGTTTAGCTGGAAATCTTGGCAGATGTTTCTGATGCTGATTGGTTTCATATTAAAATTCAGGCTGTTGCAAGCCTGGTAAGGAATGGGTTTGGGCAGGGATGYGTGGATGTGCAGGTGTGTCCAAAACAGCAGAGCCTCCCTTCACCAAATCATCCCAAAGCCAGCACATTTCTGTAACCCTGGCTGAGATGTGCAGCTCCATTTTGTGTGCAGGGCTGTCAGAGTGTGTGTGTCCAGCTGAGAGAAAAKCCCCCAGCTCCTGGCCAGCTCCTCCACCATCCCTTGCTCCAGATCACATCCAGGAGCCACGAGGATTTGCAGTTTTYCTGCTCACCAGGTGACACCTGGTGGTCCTTTTAGCTGAGAAAAATCTAGAGATTATTTCTGTTAATACAGCCAAGCTGCTACATTTCTTCCAACAGGATTTCAGTTGTTCTTTGCCAGCACTAATTAACATCCCTGTCAGTTCTGGATAAATCGGGGCTGTTTGGTTTTGGGCAATGATGAATAGGAGGGGGTGTCCCTCTGGCTCTGACTTGGATTTATCTTTCACAGAATCAGCACTRCTGACTTTAAATAGAAACAGCACAACTGAAGGGGCGAGGGCTGGGGGTGGAG